AGCGACAGAGACAGAGACAGGACAGAGACAGAGACAGAGACAGAGACAGAGACGAGACAGAGACAGAGACAGAGACAGAGACAGAGACAGAGACAGAGACAGAGACAGAGACAGAGACAGAGACAGAGACAGAGACAGAGCAGAGCAGAGACAGAGACAGAGACAGAGACAGGACAGAGACAGAGACAGAGACAGAGACAGAGACAGAGACAGAGAGAGAGAGAGACAGAGAGAGAGACAGAGAGAGAGAGAGAGACAGAGAGAGAGAGAGAGAGAGAGGAGAGAGAGAGAGAGAGGAGATGAGAGAGAGAGAGAGAGAGAGAGAGAGAGAGAGAGAGAGGAGAGAGAGAGAGAGAGAGAGAGAGAGAGAGAGAGGAGAGAGAGAGAGAGAGAGAGAGAGAGAGAGAGAGAGAGAGAGAGAGAGAGAGAGAGAGAGAGAGAGAGAGAGAGAGAGAGAGATAGAGAGAGAGAGAGAGAGAGAGAGAGAGAGAGAGAGAGAGAGAGAGGTCAACTTTACGTCAGAGGGCAATGGGCATTGGTGCATTGTATATTGTATTGTATTCATAAAAATCTCCACATCGTGGCTCTTCCGATTTCAGAGTCAGTACATTATTTAAACACAGTGAACATGTTCATAAAACACGAAAAAATGATGGTTTAAAAATCACTATAAATTGCTAAAATGCGATAAAACTGTGAAGCCCCTTCTGGTTTTTTGTCTGTTTTTTTTTCCTGCGTTGCACAAAGCGTGTTAGATACAGGCAATTACAATTTTGCGTATCTTGACATTCCACCTATTGACAAATCTATTGGTTTGCATCAACCACATTTTGATGTTAGGTCAGGTCACTGATCTATGACCTATGAGGGCCTATTGACCTATCTTGGAGTTTTCATCAGTCGACTGAGGCCGGTCACTTGACGTCAGGTCAACATCAAAGTTGATCCTCCCCATACAAATCGTATGTCATTCGACGCGTCTGGACGTTCAGAATGCAATCAATTTGCTGTTCCGATACCATATCCGCTAACGGTTTTCAACGAAAAGTCGGACACCAATCTTTGGGTCTTGGGCTACATCTCGAAGATCACCAATTGGTGGAGGCCCTAAAATTGGACACTAAGTCGTTGAGGTCGTGAGGATAAACCCGTCCGTTTTTTTCGCAAGGTCCTGGCTCAGTTATGGCTATAGAAACGGCTATTGGCCTCGGTATACCTACTCGCTCCAATCCTTCGACCGCTAACCGATAGGTCTGGCAAGCGGGTTAACCCAAGGAAGATAACGTTGTGACGCGACGCGAAAACACATTTCGCCCTAAGCCGTCACCGTCCGACTAGATAACGTCGTCGCGTGCGAGAGGGGGAAGAGGGCCGGGGGCCGAAGGTCGCCAGAGCGACCCGATCGACCGCAGCCCGGCGGCCGACGGGAGCACTCGGCTTCATCTGCGCATGTGCGTGTCCCACTGCTGGCTCGGGGAGTAGTGAGGTAGGTCAGACGGCTATTCTAGTGAGGTAGGTCGTGGGCCTTTGGCGGAGGGCCATGGGTGCGTCGCACGCGCCGAGGATGGTCCCAGTGCGTCGCGTCAACGAATAGAAGTGAGAGCGGTTGAAATATTGTATGTGTTCACTGATCGGGTGATCAAACTTGGGAGGTGGTTATAAGGAAATGTTCAAAAGCGCGTACGATTTCTTGTTACAAGGTGAGCTTTGAATAAGGTTTGCAGATAATACGTGATCAACAATTGTTAAATATGTTTTTGCTTTATAAACTCTAAATGATATATTTTTACGTTTTATACGTTGAGCTTTATCAATAATTCGATCTTATCAATCTTATCTTCTAAGTCATTTACATCATGTGTATGCGCAATGTGCTGGTAAAGTACTTGGTATCGTAAAAGTAACATTAGTTATTTCGTTCATTTGTTGGGTCCCTTCAAATGTCAGTTCAACAGAATCTGTGCAGTCAGCTTCTGATTTTTACAGTATCGAAAAAATAATACACTCCCATTCAATAGATGATAAAATATACCTACATATTTAGGCATACTACAATGCAGAAGTCTTTTACATGGTCATTAACACAGAACAGCCGCCTAAAAAATAAATGGCACAGTCTGGGATAGTTTGCGAGAGCATTGGCTACTTTATTGAGACGAGATCAACCAGCCTGACATGGCGACGTGACGAAGTTCAAGTTCACGTTCAGACTAGGGCGAGAGAGTGGCTCACCCCATGCGTGCCCTTTAGCTCCCGATTCAGCAGCAAAGATATGTCGTAATGTGACTTAGATATTCTGGTACTTATCGGTCTGAGAGCAAAGTGTCACTAATCATGTCACTAATCACAATGTAAACTAATCACAGGCATGGGTGTGTTGTTAGCAAACAATCGATGTTTGTTTCAAGTACACACTCACTACAGGTTCTCTTCACAGTGTTGACTCAGTCATTGGGTGCGACACGTGGAAAAGGCCAGGTCATTGGGTACGTAGGCCTGGCACTGATAGTGGGAAGATACCGGCGTACCTGCACATTGCGTGGTCGCACGCAACGGCGGGCCGCCCCATTCATAACCACCGGTTCTTCGCTCCATATATGGCCTGCCGTGGTAAAACCGACGGCCGCAGGATGACGACGGTACCTCGTTATGCAGATTATATGCAGATTATGCAGATATGTCAGATTAGGGCTCGCCGTCGGCAGCCCTTGCAACTATGTATCAAAAATTATACCACTCGCTTTATATCTACTGCGGTGAGCACAGAAATCTATATAACAGAGAATCGTTTAAAACATCACTTGTTTGCATATTTGTTTTTCAAAAACCCAAGGATATATTTTATGCCAGTCTATGTAGGTCTAGGTACACACGGATACAATATAACCCACGAGCCGCTGGGGGGGGGGCATAAAGTTGCCCCCCCTTTACGTTTTGTGAAATATCTCCGAAACCTTATAAGCTACGAACGTGAAACTTGGCATAGCTTCAAATGAATACCTAGGCAATGTTTGAGGAAAGTTTGGTGGTTGTAGCACCTAAGATGACGTCACAGTGACGTCATAAATTTTTGTCGTTTTCCGATATGGACCGTTTCTGATGACGCTGAGCATGAAACTCAACTGTAAATGAACTAGACAGCACATGCTGTCATCCTAAAACATCTAACTACACTTCCATCTAGTTTCTGACCAATAATCGACCCTTTATATTCGGTCCCATATATCTGATGTATCGTGAGGAATATGAGAGTCGCAAATCTATGATTTCACTTATGACGTCACTGTGACGTCATTTCAAATGGGATCGACACCAAATTTGGACACAACCTCGGCTAGGTATTCAGGAAGATGTGTACAAAGTTTCGCTTCTCTACCTCTTCGTGTTGCGACGATATCGTCGCAGAAGTAAAGGGGGGGCAACTATATGCCCCCCCCCCCCAGCGGCCGGCGGGTGGCGCGGAGGCCCAGCGGCCGCCGGGATAAATAACCAACACTCGCCAGTCAATCTCTTACATGCCGAGAAGCGCTCCTTTTCCGTCTCCGTCAGCTGTTCGTTGCGTCACGGAGCGTGGGAAAGTGGGCGTGGCCTATAGGTCGCCGCAGAAGGAAGACATATAAAGCACACGCTCGCAGCGACTGAAACCATCTCAGCTCTCACTCGGTCCGTCTGGCAGAACCGTTGTTACGGTTTACCTACGGTTTACCATCCATGGCATACGACTTCAAAGGTAAGGGCACGGAACGTCTTAGAGACCATAATCTGAACTGAATGCCTGGGATAGAAGCGCCGTACACTGTTTCATTCAACTTTATCGCAAGCCTTATTGCGATGGCTGGATATTTAAGAAAAGTACCAACTTTGAATCGGGCCTCCGAGGCCTTTGTTTGAATCAGATTGTTTAATAGTATAGAATTTCGAATCAGGCAAAGTGATTTATTTATGACGTCCTAATAAGACGAAATCACAGTTGTATGCAACAACCTTTTGATCGTACTCACATTGAGAATAAATACAACTGAGAATGCAGCATGAACCACCTTATAGCGATCTCAGGCAGCTTTTGCCAAATTGTCAGGGAACTCAGATTTGTTTTTCAATAGAAAAACACAATTCTAAAGAATAGTGTTTTAACTATTGACAACAAACCCTCGGTTACCTACCCACGTAACACATAACTTCACTCAGAAGAGCTAACATGAAAGGAGGATCTGAACTAAGCCTGAAAAACGTTCATAATAAGGTGTTCTATTCACATGAGGGCACTTTTGCCATGCATTGAATTGCGCCAAGAATTGGGTCCAAAACTATCTCCGTTTTTATATCAGTTATTGAAAAAATATCTATCTCCCGATTTTTACGCTTACAAAACCTCAAACTACACACAAAAACTAACACACTCTTCGGTTCTTCGGAGCCAAATGCTTCCATCAAGGTGCTTCCTTAAATCACTCTTGCGAGTGTCACGTGCTGACATACACTCGACGCACTCTTAACCCGCGAGTTGCTGAGGGGGGGGGGCGTTAAACGCCCCCATTTTTTTTCACCGGGCCATAGCATAAAAACGGCGCGCCGCAGGCGCGCCAAATTTTAACCCGCGCACCGACGGGGGTCTGCGCCAACTTCGCACCGACGGGGGGGGGGGGGGAGCGGCGGATGACCGCCCCCCCTGAGATCTCGAGAACGAAGCAAGATAGCGACAAGCGGTAAACGGCGTCGGATACGCACGGTCAAGATCTCCAATTCTTATGAAGGTCATTTTCAGGTCAGGTCAAAGATGACGTCACAGGGGTCGAAAAAGTCAAAATGGCGGCGCTAGATATGGATAGATTTTCTCGAATAAGTCAAGATAGGAACAAACTAAGGGCATCATCGTGATCCTCTCGTCAATCCGCATCGAATGATATATAGGTTGACCTCGAAAGGTCAAGGTCAAAGGTTGACCTCAGGTCACGTGACCTCGAGGTCATCATGTATATCATTCGATGCGTCTTGACGAGCTGAACACAATGAGACCATCCACGCGTCTGTATCTTGTTCCTGTACGGAGTTATTGGCCAAAAACCTTTGGTGACCTTTGATGACGTCACATGACCTCACAGCTGCCCAACAGCAAAACAGACCTCAAGGTAGTGAAGGTTGATCGTATATGAAGTCATGTATGGTATATGGGGCCATTCCGACCCGTTTTAGTGGTAAAAACAGGGAGTTTATTTTTCCCCCCATTGCAATGGGGGGACCTCGCGACCTCCCCATTATAAGTCAATGCATTGACTTATAATGGGGAGGTCGCGAAATTGACCTGACCTTAGGTCATCGATATCAAAATTCCGAGATATAAAAATTGTAGCTACTAATGACCTAATAACATCCTGCGACTTTCAAAGGCCTCCGACATCTACTGTAGCTCTGGCACGGTGACAAAGTTGCAAAAAAGTGACTTGAGGTTGGGTCATTCAAAGTGACCTGGTGACCTGACCTTAAAAGGTAGGAGGTTCAAACTTGCACACCATGTGTAAAATTGATGAGGGAATAGTCGTACCAAATTGCGCCGCGGTTTTCCCGCTATTCGCGAAAAACCTTCGGGGGGGGGGGGGCGGATATCCGCCCCCCGTCGGTGCGCGGGTTAAGTACCTGTAGGGAATTTATTGAAGTTTATTGTGACAAACTTTCAAAAAAATCGGTCGGAAAATTTTTGAGATATCGAGGTTTTAGTGACGTCATGATTTCTGAGTTTTCGACCAAAAACGGCATATGTTCAAAAAATCATATAAAATCACAGAACAGATATATAGACATGCCGTAAACGCCATTAGACTGCCAATACCATGAAGAATCGAATGGCTATCTTCGATTATTGATTATCGTTCCGCATTTTCTAAAATCTTGAACTGAATCTTGGCAATTTCTCGTGACTACTTCACGACCATGATACATGAATTTCTTAAATTGAACTTTTTTAGCCAAACACGTACACATATGATAAAATGAATGTCACCATCGTGTTCTACGCCCCAAATTACACATAAAACATGTATCACAGGCTGCGAATATCAGTTTTTATTTTCGGGGATATGTGCCTGCCCGGTTGACCTGACCTTGACCCTGACCTATGCTTGACTGACCCCTGCATGGAGCTGACACTCTTGTAGGCCCTATATGATGGATTGTGCACCGTTTTGACAGAGTTTATGACGAGAGGCGCCCATTGCGAAGTCCTGAAGTCCATGCTACTGAAAGCCCGATTTCAGGTGTTTGACCTGACCTTGACCTGACCTGTGACCTCAAAATTCAACTTTAAAGTACTCATCTGAAGCGTCTCGTCGCGTTCTTTCGTTTGCCGCCTCGTGCGTTTCGCTGCGCCTATTGGTTCTCGAGTTATCGGCTGGGGGCGTTTAACGCCCCCCCCCCCCCCAGCAAACGGTGGGTGGCGAAATACCCCAGCAACTGCCGGGTTAACCCTCGCCCGCACATGCCATTTTCCCATCCTAGAACGCACATGGGGGGGATTACCACCCCCTTCCCGCGCCATTTCGTTCCTGTTGGAGATAGAGCTTCGCGGTAACGACCAAAAAGATTCTTTGGGAAGAGAAAAATCCAATGATACCCATTTTTACCTCCTCAGGTCAGTCATTGACCTTCCAGGTCAGGTCAAACTAAAAAATGCTGCTGTTTTGGGTCACCGTTGGATATCAAGTGCGCTGCTTATCATATACCGATGACAATGCCGTTTTCTGGTGCCAAGCCAGCTAGAACCTCTTTGTCACACTACCCGACCAAATTTTTGCTACTGAGGTCATTTCAGGCCAAGTTAGGTAAAGGTCAATGATATGTGTTTTTATGTCTGTGTGTGTCTGTGTGTATACTGATGTGTGCAACGATTGTTTTATGTGCCCATATTACATGAAATCATGATCTGAGAAGCTTTTAATAAAAAATGCAGTCAAAAAACTTCACGAAAACTAAATTCAGCTTGCCTAAAACGCAATTATTTTATATGACCTAGCTTGACCTTGGCCCTGACCTTAACATCTGTACATCGTCGAACAACATGTTCCATGATAGGTGGGAGGTAAGACTAGCAAAAAAAGGCCGAAATCAAGGTGTCAAAAGCTCACAAGGCCCATAGCCAACGCAAGATGTTGAGAATTGGTCATTTGGGTCATGACATGACCTGAAAAACAAGCTCATATCTCCAAAACCAAAAACCACAGAAACTGGAATTTTTCAGTGGACATCAAGATAGGATAGAGAAGCAGCTATGCGAAAAATCAGGCTTCTAGCTCTAAAAATGTTGAGTGCAGAGCAGAAAGACTACCTGGGGGAAATGGCAACCCCCCATGTGCGGGCGCGGTTTAAAGAGTATGGATGGAGCTGAAAAGCTCATAGAACAGCCACGGCTCTGAGCAAAGAGGCTAGTAACACCGACACTCATAATACCGTTATGAGAGTTGTGTGACACCCATAAATAGTGTCATTTTGCACAACAAAAACACGCATAATGGATGCCATTATTTTTTTGTGTGTACCACATCATCCAGTTGTGCATCTCGTTTGCTCGGTGACCAACGTCCTCGTCTGTCTGTTTCCAGGACCCGTGCCGGTTCCCGTGGACACCGCGATGGACCCGGAGAGTCCCGTCGGCTGGCGGATCCGCACGGTGGAGATGCACACGGCGGGCGAGCCGGTGCGTATCGTGGTCTCTGGCCTGCCGCCCATCGAGGGCGACACACTGCTGGAGAAGCGCCGCTACTGTAGGGACAGCCTGGACCGGTTCCGCCGGCTGCTGATGGGCGAGCCGCGCGGCCACAGGGACATGTTTGGAGCCGTCCTGGTGCCCGCCGACGACCCCAAGGCGGACGCGGCGGCGCTCTTCATCCACAACGAGGGCTACTGCACCATGTGCGGCCACGCCTCGATGGCCGTCGTGCGCTACCTGGTGGACGAGGGGGTGGTGCCGCGTGCAGAGACCGGAGACACGGAGGTGAACCTGCAGTGTCCCTGCGGCCTCGTACGCGCCTGGCTGACCCAGGATAACCAGACCCGGTTCCTGTCCGTCCCGGCGTTTGTGCTCCACAAGGACCTCAGTCTGCCGCTGCCCGACGGCCGCCAGTGCAGGATGGACATCAGTTACGGCGGGTCGTTCTACGCGGTGGTACGCGCTGGCGACCTGGGTCTGAGCAGCGACTCCCCCTCCGCCGAGTACGTGCGCCAGGCGAGCTATATACGCCGCCACCTGAGCGCCTCCGGCGTGAAGATCCACCATCCAGACAGCGCCGACCTGGGCTTCCTGTTCGGCGTCGTGTTCGCCGACTTCGCGCCGCTCTCGGTGGTCGCTCCGCCTCCGGAGGTGGTCTCGCAGGTGATCGTGTTCGCCGACGGCCAGGTGGACCGGTCGCCGTGCGGCTCGGGCACGACGGCGTGCTGCGCCGTGCTGCACGCCGCCGGCCGGCTGCCCACCGCGCACGGCTGCACGTTCCGCTGCGCCCTCACCGGCAGCGAGTTCAGTGGCCGGGTGGCCAGGGAGACCGAGAGCCACGGCCGGCCGGCGGTGGTCGTCCAGGTGGCCGGCAGGTCCTTCTACACCGGCAGGGCAGAGTACCTGGTCGAGCCGGAAGACCCGCTCGGAGAGGGCTTCCTGGTCCAGTGACAGTTTATTGGGGAGCATTGGTCTAGTGACCGAACCACTCGAGGGGTCTAGGTCCAGCGGTCAGTCTGTTTGAGGGGTCTTAGATTAGTGACCGGTCGTTTGGAGTATGTCCTTGCTCAGAGACGTTAGGGGGCTTCCTGTCTCGTTTCGTAACAGTCTTCTTGATTTACTTGTGGGTAATTGCAGTCACCTGTTGAGGTCTCGCCTTTACTAAAACGCCATTATCTAGTTACAGCGTTGGACTGTTCACAATTTATCTTTTTACCTCAACTTTCGAATGCTTTTTAGTTCTTATCGCACATGCAAAAATTAGATGTCAGACAAACATAAGGACAGTGCATACATTAAGCACTTCTAGCAGTTCAGATGTAGATTGATTATGTTGCGAGATATGTGCAATGTGCATGCATGTATGAATGCATTCATATTTTCGACCCTTCTGGCAAGGCTAGTCTTAGCTCTGAGCAACTGCATCATTACCGGATACATTTTTTTTTCTATTCTCTAGAATAGATATACAGGGATACGCCATTTTGAGAATAGTTCCTATTCACCGCAATGTTACAACGCCTTACACGATCAAGGGCCGTATTCACGTCGATCATTTTCGTACGAATTTTCTAACGCATGACCTACTTCTTAAGATTTTTTTTAATTAAGTGAACTCCGTCTGTTAAAGGTTAAGAAGTGTTGACGTGAATACCAAATAATACTTACGAAAGAAAATCGACTTACGAAGTCGACGTGAATACGGCCCCAGAATATGTAGCATGCGCGTGTGTGTGTGTGTGTGTGTGCGAGTAGGTGTGTGTTCACATATCTGTCCAATGTCCAATTACGTATTGCACCTGTTGATGTTTTCGTTTGGTTTACGAGGATGGTGATGGGCTTGAACATGTTTGTCGTATTTACGGGAAACGAACTGTCTGACATGTGTAATATACGGAAGCGATGAAACGAATGACTTTATACCAAGTCACCCATTTGAGATTCGGCAGAACTTTGCAATGTTCTACGGAAACTTTCAACCATTCAGAATCATTATCGCTTGGGAACAATAAGGAAATGGCGCCAGTAAAAGGGACTGAGAGAATAAGGTCACAGACACATCAATCGATTTTCCTGAATTGACATCGGAAACAGACAGGTACAATCCCCCCCCCCCAAAAAAGATATGATCGAATGAAGATCATCATTGGAATCTTATATCGGCTAACGGATAACAGTTAATTATGATTCAGCAGTATAACGTTCATGAACAAGCAAATCATTGCAAAACAGAACAATGAAAACTTGACGAGTGAAGTACCTGCTTGCAAAGCCGAAACGATTAAGCCGTCCAATAGCGATTCATATAAGAATCTGTTACTAACTAAAACACATGTCTGTCATCAAAATGCACGTTAACATAATAACCTAAATAAGAAGTAAGAACGTCTCAGTCTCAGCAGTACGTGTCCTCACTTCTTAGTCACTAATCTGTTATCACCATTACACCATGCCATTTTTACCAAATCATGAGTGTGTCAGCGACAATCCACCGACCCCTCGCCCATTCGCGGCGCACACCCCACGCCTCCCCCGGCTCGAGTTACCTGACCGGCCAGCGGATCAGCTTGCAGCTGTGACGGGGGTCGTGGTGCCGAGCCCGCGGGCGCGTGCGGAGCGAACTGACCCAGTGCAGTGTCGCATTCTGAACACTACACGCTAGTGATCGTCTGGGAGCCCGCTGAATGTGAGCTGAGTGAGCTGAATCGTGCTGAGTGAGGTATAGTCTCTGCCTGACGGCTGGCGCTGCGCGAGACAGTTCGATCGCCCGGGACTGGTTTAGAGCAGCGAGCGGAGAGGAATCTAGTGTTGTGTGAACAGCGAGTGGGGTGAGGCTGTGACTTTTTGGCAGTAACTAGTCGATTCCACACTTTCAAAATGGTGAGCTCTCTAAGCTAGAAAGTCCAAATTCTAGCGAAGCAGCTGTGAGAAGGAGTGCCGACTGGGCGGGTAGCCGACGTTTGATAGAGTGAGCGTGGATTGGGTGAGACGCAAACCGGTAAACGGGTAAACGTCGTAGCGTTACTGGAACAAAACGTGAGCACTCAGGCGAACGCCGACCGAACGAACGACGCCAGGGGCTGCGAGGCGTAGCACCGCCTCAACATGACGGCGGCAATCCTGATGGTACTGGCCATCAGCAGCTCAGTGATAACACCAGGTAAGCTAAGAAAGTTTTGTTTAGCTCGTCATGAACTGCTATCAGCCTTTCTTAGCGTTATTTCCAGAGCTATGCAACACAAATATACAGATCAATTCATTTCCTGTATAACAAAGGACGCTTATTGTGTATGCTAGATTTTATAAACTATGCACATTTACATACATGCGTAATGAGCTGATGCAGTTGTATCGAAGAGTTGATGTGCTGCGATCATGTATATTCAAATTAGGGGTACAAACGGATTCCTTCAGAATCACGAAGCTTCACCTTCCAACAAATCTACCTCTTATACAGCCACTTGGAAACAGTGTAGACAAATGCACATTGGGAGCATATTAATTGGTGAAAAACGTCTTTAAATGAAGTCCAGATGCATTGAAGATTCACTGAACAATTCTTTTTTTTTTGCTTTTTGCTTTGCCTAACCCCTGTCTGGCCCGTTGTTTTCTGCACGTTTTCAGCGCTGTCGCAGCAGCAGCGGTTTAGAGTGCGACCGTCCGACGCGAGTGTGATCGAGGGGGAGAGTGTCACACTGCGCTGCGAGGTCGACCACCAGGTCGGCCAGCTCCAGTGGACCAAGGAGGGCTTCGCCATGGGTGAGAGATATAACCAGACGGAGGTCAGGCGTTGCCTGCAGGCGGCATGTGTCCTCTTAGCTGTTTGATTTTGTTTTGGTGACGCTGGATATGATAAATGATTATGAATGATCTCATGCTTAGGTAAACAATTTTCATTTACTGACGTATTTGTTAAAATAAGGTATGCAGTTTTCATTTACTGATGCATTCGTTAAAATAGGTACGGCTCTCGCGAGATTAAGCGGTAGGTTTTGCACCATTTCCGGTTATATCTCAGAAACTAATCGATCTACGATGAAGCCATTTTACATGATCATGGCCGGTTTGTGAACCAACAAGTCGATTGCATCTTCAACATTTAAAAGCTTAAGACGACGAAGATATAGCCTGAAGTACACTAAATTTTCTAGGTGCAAAACCTACCGCTAAAACCCGTCTCCGCGGGTTTGTACCTGTACCTTTCGAATGTGTATCATAAATACGGAAGGCGTTATTTAGCGTCTACACGGCTTACGTAACGCATATTTGTTTTACAGGCATGCATATCTGCTTTCTTAGTTCCCAGATCTGATGTTTTTGTAACTTTCCACTATTTGCCTTTTAGCCGTAATGGATAACTGGTTACATTATCCTAAGCGGCCTAGCGTGGTTGACGGCGACAGTAGGTACAGGGGTTAGAGAGATCGTCCCATGGACTGTCCTCTCTAGCAGGCCATCAGGTTCGCATTCTACCACCGCAACATTGTAGCATGATTTATGTTCCATTCACCCTGTTTGATAAAACTCCTCTACGTGCCCCGGGCCCTGTCACATTCAGTCCACTCGCTCGCCTTCCGCCACCGAGCACACGTGTAACGGGAGCCGCCCCCCTGTGCCACGCACCGGTCACCTTACAGGGGGCGGGCCTCCGCCCTGCGGACGGCAGCAGCCGGCCGCGGGGCAGCTGGCGGCCCACGCAGTCACAAATGAGGCGACGCAGTTCGGGTGATTGTGCCAATTATTATCTCATTTGTCACAAGATATACCTAACTACTAGTGAACTGAAGCTGACCCAATCAAGTAAAAAACAAGTACAAACTAATGGCTGTTGATCCGCCAGACAAAAAGCATGTGAAAGCGTGAAGAAACTCGTCGGCTTGAGACACAAGACACTACGGCTAAGTCTAAAGTCAACTTATCTTTTTGTGACTAGCACCTACATACAACCCATAGGCATGTAGCATATGTGAACACATTGTTTTCCTTTACAAAACATTGCTGATTTATCGACGAGCCTGTCAGCCGCAACTCCGATGCACATCTAATGCGCAGTACGCAGCTCATGATAATCAGCTGTTGCATAGGCTGTCCCGCAGCACACAGGAGCCCTCCGGCACAGCCTACCTAACAGGCCGCCGTCGGCCGGCCGCGCGCCTCTTCTGCAGGGTACGAGCGTGACCTTCCCGGCTTCCCGAGGTACCGGGTCATCGGCGACGCCGAGGCCGGGGTCAATGACCTGCGGATCGTCAACGTCACACTGGATGATGACGCGCTGTTCCAGTGCCAGGTTTCACCCAACGGAGGCCAGGAGGCCATTCGCGCGGCGGCATATGTCACCGTACTGCGTGAGTGAAAATGTTCAAGGAAGAAAGGTGTGTTGACTGTTGAAATGAGGATGTCTGTAATGCTGCGGAGTCTAAGAAAAGCTTTCAATATCAATAGACATAACTTTCTGAGCTTCGCAAAACGTTGATAAAATCTTTAGAGCTAGAAGATTTCAGGATGCGTTGGGCTCCGGTGCCTTTCTCCAGCCCTAAAATAGGCCGCATTATATATTCCCGACCGGGGCTGGGAAAATGCGTTTTATTCACCGAGGTTTTTGTGCGGAGGACCGAGTGCCGGTAGGCACGAGGTCCGTAGCCAAAAACCGAGGTGAATAAAACTGCATTTTCACAGCTCAAGGTTGGAAAGATATTTACCACATGCCGTACCGGCGCAACAGTTAATATCATATTCATTTGGTATTATATATTATATTCTTAATATGGTGTTAATAATCTATTAATACTATGTTCATATTTATAGTCACCGCGATTATTTTTTGTGTTTTTCATTATTGGGCGGCGCTGGCCGTTGAGTATGAAAGATGAATTTATCTTATTTAGGGCTTGAAAAAGCTGAGGATGAAGATGGTGAAGCGCCAGAAGTTAGAATAAACTATAAAGATATGGAGTCCAGCAGGAGTGAGGAAACCGCGAGGAAAACTGAAAATTGGGTGAAACGCTGAATCAAACGCGTCTTAGATCCCAGCTGGAACAATATCCAAATGTTTCAATGTGGCTCGTCAAGATGCTTCGCGCATTTAAAGTGTTCGTTTTTTGCGTGCATTATGTTGTAATAATGAGTAGGTACTCTATGTTCTGCAGCAATAAATACATTGGCATTGGAACGATACCTACCCTTGTTTAGTTGAATTACGTTGACAGCAAAAGTAAGTGAAAACGCCGTCACTTAATTTTGCTCACTTCTGCTGTTGCTGTTAGTGAACACACAATCCGTAAATATCTTCTTTGGATTTGGTTCTTCCGCTCAGAATATTCAGTAAAACTTTGTCTGGGAAAATCAAAATGACCACGGTCCGAAATCGTTTCCCAAATACCTTCAACATTAGCCACAGCCGGTCCGAAAGCTTTTCCCAAAATCACGTGCTAATACTAAAGGGATATCTCGGCATGTGGTAAAATGCAATCTGACTCCCTGATAATATCGTCAGCTTTACTTTCCTCCATCTAACGTCCCAATATCCACTCCACGCTGAAGCCTGCCTCATTCACTGTGACGTCAACGCCCCCCTCCCCCCCCCCCCCCAGTGAAGCCCGTATCCATATCGGTGACGTCAGAGGCACGCTCACCGCGACCAGAAGTGTTCGAGATCCGGACTGGAAACGAGATCAAGCTGACCTGTGATGTCAAAGAAGCCAAACCGGCGGCCACAGTGCAATGGCAAAGGAACGGGGTCAACATACAACCGGGTGAGTGTCTGCCTGCAGTAAAGCAGATATACGCGTAATAATCTGTTTGTTATTGATCAATTCCATTATTTTACACTCTCGTATTTGCCTGGCGTCAAGGAAGCGACAGAAACATGATCTGAATCCAATACATTTTGTTTTATAACAGATTGCCAACCTGCTCTGACGATGCCGAATGAAGACGGCCGTTTAACTTCTATAACTTAAACCATTTATTCTGTTCAGTTACCGTAACGTTTACCTCAAAGCATTAGGGGCCAATTACATTTTCCCTCCGGTCTACACCCTATTCTATCACACTCATCACCTCCGCGGCCCCCTCAGACCAGGAGGTGTCGTTCTCTGACCCGGATCGGCCGGAACGGAACGACACGAGCTCCACCATCACCCTGGAGCCCACCCACCTGGATGACGGCGCCGGGTACTCGTGTCTGGCCATCCACCCGGCGGTACCGGCCGGCCAGCAGGCCAGCTTCAACACGACAGTCACACTCTCCGTACTCTGTGAGTGAAAGGCGTTTCGTGAGTGATCTGGGTTATGTGAGCCACCCGTGCTCCGTGAGTTCCCTGTGTTATGTGAGTGAGCTGCGTTTGTGACTGCTACGTGATTTCTGATATACGGGCCCGTGTCTTGTGAATTTCTCGTGTTGTTTAGTGCTTTGAGATATGCGAGTGCTCCATGCTTTGCGTTTTACGTATTCTGCGAGTGTTCTTGCAGAGTGAGTGTTCTCCCCATGGTTTGAAAGCATTCCAAGCTCCGTGAATGCTGCGTGCTTCGTGCCTGTTGGGTGTGGATGCGACATATTGCCCTGTCAGTTTCTAGTGGCCTCCACATGGCGCCTGCGTTGTGCATCGATCCTCTGGCTGAGTTCGATAGCCTTGTTCTGCGCAATTCCACCATATCTAATCCCGTGAGCACGTAATATAAGAGAGACGTGGATAGGTAATTGTACAGATATTCATGTGCTGATAGCAAGGAAGATTTTACTATCATTGCCCCAATAAATGTGTCGCAGTTTTATTGCTAAAATTTCCGCGTTTGAAAAAGCGAAATCGACAGGTGCAATCGATAGTTGTTTCTATCAATGGGCGGTAAATATGTACAGGCTACAGCTCGATAAGATACCGATTATCGTTCTACGTTTTATTGTATGACACTTCTACGAATTATTTTCAATAGTTCAATTGAAGGCGAGTGCAATGCGCTCTGGTTCAAGCAACATTTTATCTGAATCACTCGCTAGCTCACTCACTAAATTGGCACCCTTGTTATCATCCCCTTCTTCCCGCCCTTCCCTATTCATTGTCAGATGCACCAAGTCCTCCCGAAATCACCGGCTACGACGAGGGTGAGATTGTCAGAATGGACGAGGAGAAGACTCTGACCTGCATCTCACGGAACGGTAACCCTCTCGCCGAGCTGGTGTGGTTTAAGAACGGCGAGCCCATCACCTACCAGTACCGGACGATCCGCAACCGGGCCATCTCCGAGTACACGTTCAAGGCGGCGGCCTCCGACCTGGACGCCGTCTACCGGTGCGAGGCGTCGTCGTTCGTGCACCCCGAGCCGATGGTGACTTCCGTCAGAATGAACGTCCAGTGTGAGTAATGCTAGCTGTTAGTTCTCCTAAGCGCTGATTTGTGTTATGCTTGACACACAAAAAAAAATTACTTATCTAAACGATAGATGATTAGGTATTGGGTTTACATATGCCCGGTATTTTGGGTTGTAATGACTGCACATTAAGCTGTCCAACAATCACGGCGTCCGCGGCGCTTTTGCCGTGCCGGCGCCAGCACACCCCTCCTCTCTTGCGGCGCGGCTGGACTCGTTTCCTCCCTTCTCGCCGGTTTTTCACACAGAGCGTGAGGTGGTCGCTCCGCTGTATGCGACCGGGGAGGCCGTGCCGGGTCGCACGCCACTCCCCGGCAGGTCAGGTCGCGGCCCGGCCCGGCCCGGGCCCTGTTTCACGACCGCTACTAGCACGCTGCCAGCACACGTGTCACGTGTGGCGGGGTCGCGTGGGGTCAGGGCCACTGGGCGCATGAACCAGACTCCTGGGAGGATGGAGGCGCCGTCCGGGTACGTTCTCAGAGGCCCCAGCAGCGGGCGTGGGGACGCCGGTGTTTAGGTCACGCCAGGCGGCCACAACGGTCGGCGGTAGGAGACGAGACAACCGCAGGCACCACAGCGGCACACAGCGGCTTGGTAGCATGAATAAATACTACGCAGTAGTATTACGTGAAAATGGAAGCCACGTGGTGGCGAAGTGAGGCACGGAATACCGCCGCTGGCTGAAGTAGCGCTGGAGAGGTCGACTAACCGCCACGCTTCGTGCCGTCGCTAGTTGACTTGTCACGTAACTGATTGCCATGGAAAGCAGTCACGAAAAGCACGCTGATTGCTATCACTCAGAGAAAGCCGAGGACCACCGTTCACAGTCCGTAGACCACTCACTAAACCTTTGCCTCCTGCTGTCTTATTTGTAATATCACGTTTTAAGTTGGCTGCAAAGTAGAGTCGATCTCACCGAGCTTTCCCCCCACGGTCGTTCCCAGTCGGACCCGAGTCTGTCGAAGTCGAGGGAACCGAGGAGGCCAAACGCGGCGAGGATATCCAGATGTCCTGTAAGACATCCAGCAGCAACCCTCCGGCCAACATCACCTGGGTGCTCAACGGACGAACCGTCGTCAACGTACGTATCCTGGGAATTCGCCCAAAAAGGTGACGGGAAGAGGACGGTAGGGGTCCTAGTAGTGCGTATGAATATGTTGAAGGTCGCAAGCCACAATTCAGGTTGTCGGAAATATGTACAGTCCCTTTTAAGTCTTAAAAGTACCGCGCGACAGTGCGGTGGATCCATCAAGCCTGACCGAGGAAGGGCCTACTTTTATTTGAAAGTCACCGAACCAATTGACCTGGGGAATGAACGAGGATGTCAATTGCTTCGGTGACCCAAATTTAGAAGTCCTTCCACGGTCGGGGTTGATGGATCCCCCGCACTGTTGCGCGGTACTTGTAAGACTGACTGTCATTACTTTACGAGCGATGCTGATGCGAATGAAAGCGAAATAACAAGATCCCGTTGAAGTATGGCTAGTGGTTAAATGCATAACAAACATTTAATTTTGGATTGTCAAAATACGCATATTTAGGCTGTCACGTAAGATAAATGCTCCATTATTTCTTTCAGACGACTCAAGCCATTGAGCCTCACGACGAGGGCGGCTGGGTGTCCCAGTCCAACCTGACTGCCACCATCCCCATGAACATGCGCGAGGACATGGTGGTCTCCTGCTACGCACTGAACCCGTCTCTGGGCATCAACGAGGTCGGCACCATCAAGGTCACAGTGCTGTGTAAGCGGCGGGTGTTATGGGATGGCATACGAGTACATATATGTTTATTACATAGCCTTAGAGCTAAACGGATCTATAACGGCGCATTCCCTAAACATTCAGTACCTTATCAATATACCCACAACAAAGTCGGAGATTTGGATTATGCACAGTGGTGAAACAGACGTTAAACATTGCATTTCGCTGATATTTGTATAAATATTTGTACAAATTGGTCAGTTTCTAATGAAGTACTCAAACTCAAATTGATATTCAACACCTAGAAATGAGGCTACCTACGGTGTAAAACACCGTTCTCATTACTCATTAGCGCAAATCGCATTGCGCAGAGTTAGGTCATCAAATCAGGCAGCACAGCCCTGACCACCCTCCCTTGAACTCCTTCACAGACCCTCCGAAGAAGCCGCGCATTCTGGGCTACGTTCCGGGCACTTACTTGATCTCAGGTCAGAGCGTGTCCCTCTCGTGCCTGGCTCAAGGCGGCAACCCGTCCGCCTCTCTAACCTGGTACAAGGGCTCTGACGAGAAGAACTCCAAGACGAAAGTCGAGGACGACGTGGCGAGGAGTGTGCTGTCGTTCGCCGTCGACTACCGCGATAACGAGGCAGTGTACCGGTGCGACAGCTCCAACCCGGTGCTGGAGAGTCCCGACTCGACCAACGTTACACTGCTCGTCTACTGTGAGCAGACGGATGGGGGGGGGGAGTTTAAAGGGCAGCTTCTGTTAATAATTAACATACTCTGGAAATGATGCACTTAGATGCCTTATTTGCATCAAATCACTAAGCCCTGAATCATTAATAATCGAATTGTCAATTATCTTGAGCAATAAATTAACCGGTGCGTTGCGTTTACTCTTCTCCAGACCCACCTCCCGGTCTGAAGCTGAAGGTCAAGCAGAATAAACTGAAGGCCGGGAAGCGGGCGGTCATCATCTGTGAGTCTCGACCGTCGAACCCCGCGGCCAATCTGACCTGGTGGCGAAACAGTGAGCTGGTGACCGAGGGTGTGTCGAATGTCACCAGCAAACCGGCCGGCGACCACGGAGGGTAAGATCTAGGGTGGTGAGAGGGTGAGACGGGACTGTGAGAGGAGGGTGAGATAGGCGAGGTAAGCTGTCCAGTGAGTACGAAAGGTGACATGGGGTGCATTCCGGTACATACATCATTTGTGAAGCCGTGCCCTGCGGTACAGTCTAGCTCACAGGCGGTCGTGTCGTGCGGTACAGTCTACCTTGCAGGCAGCTGTGTCATGCGGTACAGCCAACCTCCTAGGCAGCCGTGTATTGCGGCACAGTCTGTCTCCTAGACAGTTGTGTTGTGCGACATCGTCTTTCTCCCAGGCAATCGTGTCCTCCGGTACAGTCTATCTCACAGGCAGTTACCTATGTCGTGCGGTACAGTCTATCTCACAGGCAGTTGTGTCATGCGGTCCCAGTCATCGTGTCTTGCGGCCTGCGGGGCAGTCTATCTCCCAGGCAGTCGTGTCTTGCGGTACAGTACCTACATCTCCCAGTAGCAGTGTATTCCGGTACAGTCTATCTCCCAGGTAGTTGTGTCTTGCGGCAGTCAGCACAGTATGGCCCCCAAGCAGCTGTTATCTCATTGTGTTGTTTCCATGTCCAGGTTCACCAGCAAGATCCGGCTCCGTAAGCGGCTGGAGTGGACCGACGACCAGGCGGTCTACACCTGCCGCTCTCAGGTCTCCGTGCTGCCGGGAAACATGCACGACGCCATCACACTGCACGTCGCCTGTGAGTGTCTTATGTGTGCTGATCTGCACGTCGAGTAGCAAACTTACCAAACATTTAGACGGGTGCAACCTGTAGTTATCAGTATACACTGGTGTGAAATAATCGCCACTGTCTGAATTCTGAAGAGCCAAGTCGGTCGGCTGTCGTCCATTTTACCATTTTATATTTAATCCGAGCAGATATGGCGCTGTTTAATCCCTGGTATATAGTCCGTCTAGCTCCATCGGTCGATTGTTTACCGCCACCCTCTCCTTTGTCGTCAGTCGCGCCCGTCTTCACCAAGAAGTCCATCACCGAGGACATCCTGGTGGGCGACTCTCGGCTGCTGGACCTCACGGCTCGCGGCAGTCCGGACAACATCACCTATCGTTGGTTCAGGGGTGACGGCGGCCTGCCGTCCGAGGATGCCCGCGTGGTCGGCGTCGGACCGCTGCTCAACATTACGGCAGTTCAGAAGGCGGATGCCGGACGGTACAGACTGGAGGCGGAGAACGACGAGGGCACCTCCAAGATGAGGGTCACCATTAATGTACAGTGTGAGTGATGCACTCGGGACAATGAAGGGATGTAAGAAATGGGTCACTCTAAATCGAAACGCACTCTCATGGTACTTCGGACTCAAATCTAACAAACAAGTAGTTGTTTTAAAAAGGAAACAATATTTTGTATTGCTAGAGTATTCGAATGGGTCAATGAGTGAGGATATCTTCCATAAATGCAATAAATGCAGTGAGCCAGTGAGACGATTATCACATTACTTACGGTAATTTCAAAGTTTTATTGATCTCAAACTATATCTGATGATAAGTTTTCAACAACTGTTCCGAGTTCAACCCACCCATATCCTGTTTTCCAGACCCTCCGGAGGTGACGACTATCTCCCGCGAGCTGCTGGTGGCCCCCGGCGCCACGGCCGTCCTGGAGTGTTTCGCCGACGCCAACCCCACCACCGACGACATGATCAAGTGGTCCAGAGACGACTTCACCTTCGGCGGCAACAAGACCAAGTCGTTCTACCGCAACGGCACCTCCTTCCTCACCGTCTACGACGCCAGGAAGGAGGACATTGGAGAGTTCCTCTGTACGGTCGACAACGGGCTCGGAGAGGTCAACGCCACAGCTGGGCTACTTGTGGAACGTGAGTTCGGATATGGGCTAAGGAGAGGACTAGAAAATGCATGGTGATGCTAAAAAAACAATGATTTATTGAAGTTAACCTGTTCGCAAGGTTTGAAATATAAGACATAGATGATAAATATGCATATCATAAGACACTTATCCGAGACGGCAATAGTCATTCCTACGGTCTTACGGCCACAACCATGTAGGTAATGCGTCACAATCTCGTATGTTGCCCCTTTTTCTAATGCCTCTTGCCTGCCACAGATGCCCCTGAGATCGACACCAGTCCGCAGTTTCTGAAGTCGGCCGCTGAGAAAGGTGAAACTGCTCTGATCACGTGTCGTGCCCGCGGAGCTCCCAATGTTACATTCGAGTGGTCACGTGGTGGCGTGGCCATCGACGAGTCGACGGAAGACGACAAGTACAGCATCACGTACACCAGAGTAAGCAAACATGAGAACAGGGATTGTGGGGACACTACGTCATGTGCTGTTTCCCCATGTGTTTCCTCAAAAGCCCTGAGTGAATTATTATAGACCGGAAGAAAACCGCAAATAACTATATGTCAGTTCTTCCCAGCTCAAGTTTTTTGAACTATTACCAATCTCTCGCTCAGCAGCTTTTGGACCGACTTTTCGGCCCCATGTAAACCTTAAAGCGAGATCCGCCCTAGCGATATTAGACTCACGCACCATAATGTTGCCTTGTGTTTATGTCTCGCAGGAGGGCCTGGTGACGTGGCAGTCGGTGCTGAAGGTCTCTTCTGTGGTCACCGCTGACTACGGAGCCTACGCATGTGTGGCGCGCAACGAGCTGAACTTCCAGCGTCAGGAGATCGAACTGGGTGGCACCACCTCTCCCGACCCGCCCATCGAGGTCAAGGCGCTCAGCGTGACACACAACAGTGTCGAGCTCAGCTGGACTCCCGGATTCGACGGCGGCCTCATACAGGTCAGCGGCTGTGGCTGCAGAGGACAGTGGGTGTGGGGGCTTGGAAAAGAGGTTGAAAGAACACAAAGCTGCAATGATCGAGCTGCCATACAGTTGTTAATAATGCATGCTATCACATAACTTTTATCTCTCGACTAACTGAGCAAGCTGGTGACATTGTTTCTCGCCCTGTACTTCTCAGTTCTCAGAGGCTTATGATGTGTGTGATGTATGTGATGTGTATGATGCACCCATCAATAGCTAGCATCTGTGCACGATCAACTGCCCTATTCCTGTTTCTGTCCCGCAGCGGTACCGGGTGCGGTACACGGAGACGGCCGGCCCAGAGCGGTTCAGCTATCAGGACGTACTGCCGGAGAACGCCACCGTGTTCAGCGTCGAGCTGCTGCGGCCCAACACCGAGTACAGCTTCTCCGTGCAGGCCTACAACGACCTCGGAGAGAGCGGGTACACCAAGGACGTCGTCAAAGCCAAAACCACCGGTATGTAGCCGGAAACAGCCTTCGTACATGGACACTGTACATGGGCAATAATAAAAACACTCAAAAGAAACATGCTCCCATTTTTGTGAAGCAAGTGCTTTCGCAGTATTGCTGAATTTTTCCAGGCGACCGTCTAGTCGCGTGCCATATAGACTGTTCCGGAATGCACTGGTGTATTGCGGCACAGTATTTCATGGAAATCGGCCCACGATGATAGCACCCTACTAGGCGTAGGTAAACTACGCCTCTTGTTTTAAACAAGCCTAACGATGTCCACTGTCCAGCCATTCGCTTTTGGAAGACGAGGATGGCCTAAAGAACGAAATATGCATCTTTAAAAGGACACTTACCTACACATCATTACATAATTAATCATTCATGAACCGGCTGGCGGCTTATTCTATAGACGGACTCGTCTTACATGTCACGCATGAAGACAAGCGTTTCTATGTCACAGTGTCGCTTCTCTGCTCACCACCTTCTGACCGTCATCTCCCATTACCCCCCTCGTTCCTCACACACACACACACACCCCTCCTTCTCGACACAGACGGTCCGGAGGCCCCTGCGCCTCCCGAGGAGGAGGACCGCGCCCGCGAGCTGCTCTCCCGGCTGGCCGTGTTTGTCATCACCGTGGCTGGCGCCATCCTGCTCGTCATTAACGTCATCCTGATGACGTGCTTTGTCCGACGACGTCAGCTCAGACGGCTGTCAAGTACGACCGCGCAATACTGGGGCGGTGTTCTGTTAGGAAGTGTAGGGTAATCGTCACAATCCAACATTTTTACAAAGCGTGTTTCGAGACCATATCAATAAATGTGAGTTCATTGGCAATGATCCGGAAAAATGTCAGATAAAAAGTTGTTGTTATCGCATGTAGTACTATTAATTCTAATCGTAGCAATATTAGTCATAACGAAGACAGTTTATTTCATTGTTCCATCATCAGTAGCCGTATGTAGGGATCATGCCTTCCAAAACAGTTCACCGGACTTTTGCGGTATAACATCCCAGCCCTTCCGTGACTGTGTGCCTGTCTCCCGACGCGCAGAACTAGCCAGCAGCAGCGCCAAGTCGGACACACTGCGCAGTTACAGTGGCGACACAGACAGCTCCGACGCGAGCCGGGCTGATGACGACAGCTACTCCGTTGGCGGGACGGCCAACAGCTACACGGTGAGGCGGCCTTAGAAATAAAAAATAGCGCTGAACGTCATGTGCAGTAATAGTTAATTTAGTTATGTTGCACCGTTCGCTAATATAACCCGGTGGCCGCTGAGCCTCCCCGCCGGCCGCTGGGGTGGGGGGGGGGGCTAGTTATTACCCTTTACTTATCCGACGATATCATTGCAATGCGAAAAGATCGAAAAGCGAAACTTTGCACAGATATTCCCGAGTAGCTAGCCAGGATTGTGTCCAACTTTATGACGTCACTGTGATGTCATCTTAAGTGATATTACCACCAAACTTACCTCAAGTATGGCCTTGGTATTCATTTGAAGCTCTACTAAGTTACAAGTTCATATCTTATCAGGTTTCGGAGATATCACACAAACCGTAAAGGAGAAACTTTCTGCCCCCCCTCCAAGCGGCTCATGGGCCAACTTTTAGGATGTGTATTACAAACGTTTTTCCTATGCTAAACCTTATATCACCTCTTATGTCATATGTTTTGCTAGTGTCGCCATAGTGCTCGTCAAGTCCCAGCCTCTCTTTTTACGTTCCAGCGCTGTCGTGTATTATTTCTGTGATCACTGATCACACACCCCTTTCCGCTCCCAGGAGGGTAGCAGCAGCAGCCGTGGCTACGGTCCCGGCTCAGAGACCACGGCCGGCTACGGCGGACGGCCGTGGTCACCCGCCTCTACGGCCTACAGTCGCGGCGGTACGGCGCGGCGCGCGGGCTACGGCGGGGGACCGTACCGACAGACCGTGCCCACCCCCGACCTCCTGGCGGGCGGTGGTAGGAGGGCCGATCCCTACTACCCCGAGTCAGTGGATCTCTCTGACTGGGGAGAGCCGAGAGGGCAGACGCGCCAGCCGAGACTGCGGGTCCTTCCGTCGCCACCGCTGGAGCAGCGCGGCCACCTCTTCTAGACGGAAGACGGACCGGACACGCGGACAGGCGGACAGACGGACGAATGGACAGACGGACAGATTGACAGGCAGGTAGACGGGCAGACAGACAGACGGACAGACGGACAGACGGACAGACGGATAAATGGACCGACGGACGGACGAACAGGCGGACAGACGGACGGATGGACCGGACAAACAGACTAAGGGGATGGGGATGTAGCTATGCGTTGTGCGCTGTATGTACTATGTACGGCTTGTCTCTGCCATACTAGGCTGAGAGTTTGAAAGGAAAGTCTCGAAAGGCTCAATATGTATCTTCACGGCGAGATGGATTCTTTTGCCTACATGCGAGCTAAGTGTGAATGAGCGAGGTGCCATACCGTATTTGTAGCATGCTGTCGAGTATCATTATTCAGCACTGATGTGTCTTTTGCAAATAACATGTTACGTGACTACTGAACTGCCATTATATGCGAGCTTTTCACTGCGAATATGTCGATTTTGTAAATAAACGTTTATTGATAATACAGACGAAATATTCTATTAGACTTTCTCCACTCGGCCCCTTCACACTATGCAGGTGCATAGTATTTTAATCACTTTATTTGATATTTATTTTTTCTCAAAACATTGTTCAATGTCACGAAAATCGAGACAATATCTACTATTTTTACAAACGTGTTAGCATACCTAAATAGGTATAAACGCGAAGATGACGACTAATGACACGTTGCAGCGACAATAAATATAACGTTTCCGAAAAGCCCTGTCCGATCACTGGCACACGGGCACACCCAGGCAGCGGTTGTAACAGCACTGTCTGCCGTTCACGCAATCCCTCTGAAACCGACAGCGGCGTCTGAACCGGTCCTGGGGCTCACACTGCGCCGTCTGGCGGCAGACTGGCGCAACTCTAGTTCCCTCCGCTGTCGATGAGATGAACAGCGGCGCTGTTGTCTCTCCAAAGCCTTGAACTTGGTTTGAAGGTGGACTGCGGTTTCCTGTCAACGGGCGACGCGGTGGGGAGGACGGGCGCCTCCTCGAAGGGAACACTGAAGAGATGCTTGGCTCTTGAGGAGGGACCAAAGATGTCGAAGGGCGCAGGGGAATGGCTGAGGACGGTCGTTTTCTGAAAGGAAGAGGCGATGAGTGCGAGTTCAAAGAAAAGGGAGGAGGCCGCTTATCCCCGGAGAAATGCAATGACGAAGGATGAGCTCCAGTTGGGAACTGCAAAGAAGATTGAAAGTCATGCGGTGGTGAAATAGGTAGCCGATTAGTATGTGAAAGTGATGACGTGGGCCGCCCTCGTGTAGGCGGATGTGTGAATCTTATGTCATGAGAATTAGACTGGGGATTCTTTAGAAAAGAGCCGGCTGAAGGTGCTACAGCCACTGACGTGGAGGACGGGCGAGTCCTCAGGGGAAGAGTCGGCGAACTGGCAGGTCTCGGAGGTGGTCTGGGAAAGCCAACCGAACCCCCGGGGCGTCCGTTGTGTGGCGGAACACCGACAAACCGATTGGTCGTACCGGAGAAGACGATCGGTCTCCGGTTACCACCGCCGACTGGAAGGGTCCCAGGAGGTCGTGCAGGCTGCGCTATAGGCGTCTGAGGAGTGTTCGCAGTCGGAGTAGGACTTCTCACCGGCTGGGAGGGGATTGAGGGTTTCCTGAGTCGGTCTGGGGTAGTCTCTAACGGAGGCGGCCTCAAACGCTCTGACAACGGTGCCGGAAAATCACCGCCAATCTCTTTCAGATGCTTGTGGTCCTGGTCCCCAATAGTCTTCCACTGGCTAGGCAGGCCTTTGGTCGTCTGGTCTGATCCACAGTGTCCCTCTTTCACACCATTCTGGCGGTGACCCTCCTTTGGACTCGACGCTCCACCCTGTCGGTGTTTTTCTTCTGAACTCGACGTTCCCGACGGGCCGCCGGGCTGGGCCGGGGTGGCCGGCGCGAAAGGTCCTCCAGGGCCCCGCACACTGCCGCCGACCTGGCCAGGCGCGGAGGGACCTTCTCCCTCCTCTCCAGGCTTCCTCACACCGCCGCCGACCTGGGCCGTGGTGACAGTGACTGTTGACGTGCTGGTGTCCAGCAGCGAGCGGATCGGGTGTGAGATCGGTCCGCCCATCAGCACCGTATCCACCCCCGGCTGGGGCTCGGCCACGATCACCGCAGGGCCTGCAACAGACGCAAGACGCGTGACAGGAGACGCAGGAAATTCGCAGCATTAATCATTATATAGCATGCTATACACACATCACTAGGCTGGTTTAGGAGCATTGGCGTTTGCAACGCTATGTGTTGCTCTGCAATGTAATTAAATCACGCAACCGGCATGGCATCGTGCCTTACTGAAAGTGAAAAGATCTCGAAGCCTATGAATTGCATATTTGTACCATTACAAAAATATTGCAAAATGTGGCGTGGGCGCAAAGAAGTAGAACGGTGTTTTGTTTTACATCACAAACCTGTTTTCACAGCAGGGATCAGTTAAGCTCCTCCGGTGCACGTAATAAAGCTAAGCATTTCTTCATCACTCGAGCTTAATGCCGACCGCAACATTTCATTTGCTGCATCATCAGAAGGAATCCATCGACGGTGTCTGAGTTACAACGACTTACGGGTACTACTGGACACTGAAAACCACTAAACGTCCCATAGCGAACATAATCTTTGGGACAAAGAAAACTAACCGTATCTGGAAAGTCTGTCGGACTTTCCGTCGCCTACTTTTCAAACGTGGGAAGCTTACATGCAATATGCATGTGGCACTAAAATTTTCATGTCAATTCAGTAAGATTTTGGGCATTCTTAATCTTATAAGCATCCCATTTTGTAAGTGAAATGAAAACAAATCCTGATATAAAGAAAATCAGGGAGGCAGATCCGTTGTCAGTTACGGTGCCAGCTGAAACAGTGACATGTTAGGAGATGCATTAATTGATTATATCGAGTTGTGCCACTCGCAGGGAAGCAAAGAGAATATCATATCGCCTTCTGAATGGTTGGCGCTCGGTATTTCGATATTGAGTTTCCGTGTCACTGTTAACCGGCGGATGTTGGATTACCGTGACCGTGAAGGCGGATCACCCACCGGAATAGCCAAAGTCAGTGATCCGGACAGATAACACAAATATACGTTCCCAATACTCACGGCACGAATACACATCAGCACGACACGAACAGAGATGCTCACCTGTGGCGCTCGGCTCGATCCCGAACGAATGAATCACGTTCCCTGGGAAGAACAGGATGCCACGCTCGTCGCGATCGGCTCCGTCTGTTTCCTTATCCCTGCTCTCTTGCTGATGCACGCTATCATCTGAGGGTGCGCCTGCCGCGGTTTGCTGGACGCCAAGTTTTGAGCGGCCCTGTCGACGGTCAGCCGTCGGCTGCCCAAATCGACGGCGGAGCGCTCTTAGGTAGGCCGACACACGGGAACGGGTCACCCCAGAGCGGGGGGCTTCAGAGGGTAGATCACCCTCGCTCAGCACACGGTCATGCTCCGTGACAATCGGCGAAACGATTTGAAGACGGTCTGCTGTTTGGGAAGGCGGACTTCGCGAGGAATCGGGCCTGCGCTGGGTGCTCGGTGAAAAGATGAGACGGTCACGGCGACTGAGTTTGTCGCCACTGCTGAAAATTACGCAAGAAGCACACAACAGAAGGGCTAGACAACACTTTGAGGTCTTCATGATAACTTCCGATGACCAGATTGCTGTGAGTCGTACAATATGTTGACAGGATCCCGTTCAAGGCTTCCGTCAAATCTTCCTTGTCAGCTGTAGGTATTGGTTTAGTAATAAACAAAACACAGTAGATATATTTTCTTGGTATGTCGTCTCTAAATCATTCTTGAAAATCTGTCAAAAGTCCACCTTCAGTCCATTCTGCACCCTGTTTACGCTAAAGCTATAGGCACCAGCCCCGGCATCAGCCACAGCTCGATCTCCGCACCAGTCGCAACACTGTTCTGTCCGAG